TTATGCAATGTCACCTTGAGTACTCGTAAGGGATCTTTGAAGCTTTTTACCCACACCTAGATATTAGTTACATTTGATTTGTATTTGGAGGTTTCTCAAAGGCAACTCTGAGTGGAAATAAGCAAAAAAAAGAAATATGATTTGGGTGGGGTCCCCAAGATTGAACCTGTTCTATATAAGTCTCAAGGTGACCTACTTTACAATCAAATGAATCAAATGAAGTAACATATATACATTGTTTTGTAATTCTTAAGGCACTCTAGAAATGTGAAGTATTGTTATTGTTACAACATAATGTGAGAATATTTCATGTCACCATTTTTATGCGTTGGTGCCACCTCTTCCATTGAGTCACATCTGATTTCTCCAGCTTAATTTATTGTCTGTCTCTTAGAATGTTCCTAAAGAACTTTATCTGAAGTTCTCCATTTCACTTAAGCCATGCTACCTTGCACTACTCTGATTTATGCACACTTCCCATCTCCCTGCTAAATTATAAATTCTTTGTGTCACTTGTTATAGTCACACTCACCATCACCTTAAACATACGATGCTTAAGAAAAGTTTGTGAATTGGATCAAATTGAGTGAGCTGAATTGAACATCTAGATATTTGTTGCTGTATTATGCGTGACTGGCGATCTATGTTACACCTGTTCACTTTGGGTTCAGAGAGATGTGGGTCTAATTAACTGTTGAAGCTCCCAGGAATCAAAGCACCAACTTTGGTTATTGGTAAAGGGGAAGGTGACTCAAGAAAATCCAACCAACCCCTTAAGAAAAGTCAGTCATCTAGCCTAGTGAATGTTTCTTGATCTACTGTGTCTGGGGGCTTGTGTCAGGAAAGAATATGAATGTGTGATGTTAGCAGTGAGTGGTTCGTCTACTGTCAGGAAATGCTAAAATATTTAAGAGTAAGGTTATGGAAAGGATGCTTCATAGCTGATAGTTTTTTTTTCCTTCCATTTGATCAGAAACTGATAGTCTGACATCCATAAATGATAGAGCCTCAAAATTAAGGCATGTCTCTGAGGGGGCGAGTCATAGGATTACAGTTTTATAGCTGGAAGGAACCTTAGGGGTTATTAAATCCGACTTGAAATTATTTTTAGATAAGTAAACTGAGAGGTTAAGTTATTTGCCCCAGGTCATATAGCTAATAAATATCTGAGGCGGGATTTGAACCCAGGTCTTCTTAATTCCAAATCCAGCGCTCTATCCACGACATTAGGCTGCTTCTCTCTCATGCCCCAGAAGCTGCAATTCAACATCCCATTTTCTCTCTCCTTTCCAAACAGCCTCCGTTTCTCATGACAGATTTAATGGTGTGATTTACAGCACCAAGAGACCTTTGTCAGGGCCAGAAAAATGACAAACAATAAATATATGGAGCATTATGTTAACAGCCGCCACACAATACCTTGTCAGTTACAGCTTGATAGCGATACATTTTAATTTTGTCTTTCATAAAAATCTTGGCATGTATACCTCATTTGAACACAGGCTTGGAAGTCAAGTGTGTCATCGAAGAATGCAGTTTATCACCCTCTATATTTTCTGTCCTTTTCATTTAATGTCATTCCTATGGCAACAGACATCGCCCTGGAAATCATTTTCAAAACAGCTTATTTGTTGAAAGGGACTGGGTGAGGCTAAAATATGTGTTTGGCTGAGAAGAATGTCAGAGTGTGAATATGGCTTAGTTTCATTAATAATATTCCCCAAGAAGTTTGTGTAACCAGATATTGCACTAGAAAGAGGTGTATTGTTGAGGTTCCTCTCCATATTGAGACTTGACATCCCAGCGCCCTACCCTTCCAGCACCACACACACACACACACACACACACCCCACACTCCTTTATATCTTTCCGTATTTCATAAAGATAAAAATAGCAATAACCACCATCCCTGTCTGTTGGAGAACAGGTATCTATGTGGCTGAAAGAGAAGACAAGAACACAATTGAAGCTGCTATGTTGTTCAGGGCCCTGTATCTGTAGTGCTATGTCCAGTGTGGGGCACCATGTTTTAAGAGGGATGTTGACAATAGAACGCATAAAGAAGGAGGTAATCAGGATGGTGAAGGGGACTCAGAACTATATCATGTGAGGATATGTTTATAAAACTAGTGACAGAAGCCTTAGGAGAGGAATTTCATAATTGTCTTCAAATATTTGAAGGCTTGTCATGTGGATGGGGGGGGATCAGATTTACTCTGTGCAGTGCAGAAGGCAGAACTATACCTAATGGGAATAAGTTACAGAGAGGCAGATGGTAGCTCAAAATAGGGCAAAACTGCCTAAGAACTAGAATCATTCTATGAAGTAATGAGTTCTCTATAACTGGCAGTTTTCAAGCAGGCAACTGTTAGACTATGACTTGTTAGGGCAGTGCAGAGAGAAATTATGTTCTTCATAAAGATGTGGTAATGTATCATTCTGATTCTATCATTTCTAAAAATATATTTATAAGGTACTACTCTGTCAATATATACTCATTTAGTGTTGGTAACATGATGGGTCATATATTATTCTATCAATAATATTACACAGACTGTCATAAATGAAGAGGATGCTATAGACTGACAATGAATAGCATATTACACTTTGAGGTATTTTCTTAGTAGTGTTAATGGACTTGCATCAAATAATCCATCAATCATTAATTTTTTGTCTCCTGACTTTTCTGACCAATGAAACACATTTTCGATTTGGTTGGCTGGAATTAGGAGATAGAAGGATAGATAGACAGGTGATAAATCAATCGCTCTATCACTCTGTCACTCCACTGCTCTATCATCTATCTATCTATTTATCTATCTAATCTATTCTATATAGAGTATTATGTTAACAGCTGCCACACAATACCTTGTCAGTTACACTTTGATAGGGATACACTTATATTTTGTCTTTCATAAAAATTTTGGCATGTATATGTCATTTGAACACAGGCTTGGAAGTCAAAACCAAAATGATAATTCATTGTTATCTAATACTTTAAAATATGTGAAGCACTTTCCTCCTAAAACAAAAGTCCTGCAAAATAGGGGATGCAAATGTTGTCATCTTCATTTTACAGAAAAAGAAACTACAGCCTGGAGAGGCTCCGTAACTAGTCCAAAGTTACATAGGTTTGTAAGTTGCAGAGTATAGACTTGACCCCGGCACTCCCCACATGATGTCCAAGCCTATTTGGCTCCACTATACTGATTTTCTAAGAGCACTTCCTACCTTCCCCAGCAATGGAGCCCGTTGTGCTCCAGCCTCTGTAGGATTGGGGATTTGCTGTACCCAGTGAAATAGAGTTTGAAATAGACATACTGTTTGGTACCCTGGATAACCACTGGTTTGGAAAAACTCCCTGCACTGAAAACAAACTTGTCTAAACCCAAACAATAAATATCCAGAGTGTCACGGGGTTCCAGAAGTTCCTGGTAAACTCTGGCTGTCTGCTGAGTTTCATTTGTAGTCATCACCCTCCCAACACACTCTCCAAACTGAGTCTGTTGTCAGAAGTTCTTTTGACAAGATTGACTCCTTTTTGAAATAGAAAGCCTGCGTTTATCACTGTATCTTGGTGCTTGGAGATTTGATCTGGGAAGGAAGGTTGGAAAGTGATAGACAAAGGGAGGAAGGAAGGAAGGAAGGAAGGAAGGAAGGAAGGAAGGAAGGAAGGAAGGAAGGAAGGAAGGAAGGAAGGAAGGAAGGAAGGAAGGAAGGAAGGAAGGAAGGAAGGAAGAAAGGAAGGGAGGGAGGGAGGGAGGGAGAAAATGTGTGTGCCTGTGAGAAACAGAGACAGAGGCAGACAGAGACCTTGAATTGTTATTTTTCTTCTTTCCATGTAAGAAAGCTATTTTGCAGTTTAGAGCAGCTCCTGGATAGGCAGTCCCAATAGAAGAGGTGCCAGTCATCTGCAACCAGGTGCTGAAATCTTATAAAGTATCAGACGTGCACAAACATGGATTATAAGCCCCCATAATAGCCATTAAACCAGTTCCCAAACTTCTAAATGTTATCTTTGCAAAAACAAATTTCATCAAAGAAATGCCCAGGAGGTCTCTCTGATCGTTTCCCTTCATGAAATGCCTATAACTCACTGACTCTAGTATGATTCTAGTACTGAGGAACATGAGAAATGTATGCTTCTTTTCCCAATTAATTAGTGGCCAGGCTGCTGAAGGAATTCAGGGGAAGCAAAGGGCCCTTGCCAAAGGCAGTGGGCAGGTCATTCCTATTGAGTACATCAGCACCAAGTTTCCATTTCTCCACAGCACCTGATGAAAGGAACTTGCCTCCAAACCATATAGCACATGAATGTGGCAAACAACAGATGAAAGGAATTACAGTAATTTTCCACCATCGTCTGGACTGATGGCCGGCGTCACATTGGCTCTTCTATGGGGTACTTCTGTACAAGGAAGTTGGATAGAAGAAAAAGATAAATGGCGACACCGATGCATCATGCATCAGTCCAGTCAAGCTCGACTCTTTGGTTCTTTAACACTGTCCTATCATTATCGATCTTCTTGGAAATCCTGATGCCACCTCCCTGTCCTTGAGCCACACAACACCCACATTAAGACTCTGAAACTTCCTATGGAGAACATAGAGGTTGCAATGTTTGCCATATTAATTCAGAGCATATGGTCAAAAATATTATTTGCAATGGCTTGTGGGTTTATGATATTTAATTTAAAATAGATTTTCCTAAATAAAAAAGGGACTTTAGAGCAGACGACCATTAAAACTGTACCATTCTGTTCCTTAACATTGTTAAAAACCTAAAGTTTTCTAAGTGTTTTATACCACCTTGAATCTTGGCAGGCTTTCATCCCTTCATCAAATCTGAGGCTTGGCACATTGACCAAAAAGTAAAAGATGACACCAATGAAACAGACTGGAATTCTCTTGTGAAGAGTCGGGGATGGGGGCATGTCATCACTGTACTGTTATCATTTAAAATGTGTAACATGTTTTGAATTTCTTTCTCAAATCATAAGGTCTCAGCTTAATTCTTAATAAATCCAACACAAGATCAATGAATTGAAGTGATGGCGGTGAATGCTTTATGATGTCAACTCTCATAAAATGGGAACAGATTGTTTCCACAGCAAACATCTAGCAAATACAAGTCCAGGTACTCTCTCATTTTCCAATTCTCTACTCCTATTAGAGAACTTTGTGGAGGGAGGGCAGAGGTTTTATTTTGTTTTGCTGCTCTTCTCCTTTGAGATATAAATATTTTCTGTTATAACAAGTAGGAGACCCCCAAGCACTATGCTGATGAAATTGATGCAAATCTTTAAAAGAAATAAACACAGTACAAGAATAGGATGTGGCTCTCCTTGTATAATGTTGCATATTATTGATGTTATTTCTACCTATAACAAAAATTAGTCAGAAATGATTGTAAAATCATATCACTTTCATTCAGGCAGCTAAATGGAGCAGTAGATAGAGTGCCAGATTTGGAGTCAGGAAAACTTGAGTTTAAATCCAGCCTCAGACACTTGCTAGCCATATGACTCTGGGCAAGTCACTTAATAACTATTTGCCTCAGTTTCCTAATCTGTAAAATGGAGATAATAATAGTATTTACCTCCCAGGGTCATTGTGAGAATTAAATGAGATAATATTTGTAACACATTTAGCACAGTACCCAGCCCAAAATAGATTTATATAAATGCTGTTATTAAAAATAGTATTAGAAGGCTATGATATAAATTATATCACTCTTCTCCCTTCCATCTTAATCATAAGATTTTTTTTTAAAATAGCAGTCTGAGTTCACAATATTGCATATTTCTGGTGGAGGGGCAAGAGTTATAGGAATTAAAACTTAAAGGGAAGGAAGGAAGGAGGAAAGAAGAAGAAAGGAAAAGAAGGAAGGAGGAAAGGAAGGAAACAAATTGATATTTATTAAGTGTTTACTGTGTGCCAGGCATTGTGCTACAAAGTGCTGAGAATACAAATATAAGCAAAAAAGAAAGACAGTTCCTGCCCTCAAGGAGTTTACATTCTAATGAAGAAAGACAACATAGAAGGAAAGCTGAAGGGGGTGAGGGGAAGATGAGGAGAAAGGTACCCTGCAGAGCAAAGGCATTTTTCTGAACACCAGAAAGTCATGAAGAGGGCCAAGAAGAGAATGAAGAAAGGCTGGTTTGGACGCTTCCACAAAATAGAGGCTCCAGAAGGAACTCACCAGTGGGAGAAGGGGAACAGTTCTGTTAATGGGATATTCCAGGATGAGCTAGACACAGCGATAGTAGGCTCTTCCAGGTCAAGCAGGCCCTAGATGATGAGGGAAGTTTTGGGAAAAGCCAGCAATAAAGAAGGTGTAATTTTGAATTCCAAGCACAGGACTAGGAGAAGAATGAACTTTAGAGATCACCCACTAATTTTGAATTGAGACCTGAAGAATTGAAATTATTTGACCAAGGTCAACAGCAAGGTCAGCATTCAAAACCAGACCTTCTGACTCCATATCCAACTCTCTATTGTAGCTAGAAGGAGGAGGTGCATTGGATGGTGTTGGCTTATTAAACATAGTGAAAACATTTTGGACAAAACTGGGGCCCCAACAGTCCCAAGTTGGTACCGTGAACAGCTGATACTGTTCGGTGAACCTGATCAGAAGAGAGAGTACATACCTTGTGGTCAAGGCCGTGAGTTTGTTTTTATGATGCAATGGTAGTTGCTAATAACTTTTGTTGGAAAACCTGATACTTGAGAAATGGTTTTGTCTCAGTTAGGAGCAGAGAAGAAAGTTGAGAGCAGTTTCTGGCTTGTCAGTAATCCTTTCATATGAGTAACCAAAGAAAAATCATTCTATTTCCTGATGGTGGCTTAGAAACAAGGAAAGGCACAAAAACAGTTGTCCCAGAATGCACTCACGCCTGTAATGAGGAATGCAAAAACCATAGCAGGGTTTGCTTTTCTAGTTCAGTGACCTTTAACAACACTTGTGATCAATTTGGTTTAAAAAGTAATCATAAAGATGGAAAAAAATGAGTTTCATTACACATGAGTGCTCCAGAGTTCCAATGTTCCCAAAGGACAGACATAGCCCTAGAAACACACCTCAGTGCTATGCTTCAATCTGCATTCAAATTCCATAGTTCTTTCTTTGGATGTAGGTAGCATTTTCCATCACAAGGTCTTTGGAGATATCTTAGATCCTTGTATTGCTGGGAAGGGTTAAGTCTATCAATATTAGTCATCGCACAACGTGCGGTGTTATTGTATACAACGTTCTCTTAGTTCTGCTCACTTCACTCAGCATCAGACCGTACAAGTCTTTAGGACCCTCTGCTTTTGTTACACATAAATGTATGTGGCTTCTGGCTGGGCCACCTGAACCAAATACTGTAATTCCTTAGGCCAGGGGTGGGAACCTGCAGCTTCAAGGCCACATGTGGCCTTCCTGGTCCTCGGGTGCAGCCTTTTGACTGAGTCCAAGTTTTACAGAACAAACCCTTTTACTAAGGGGATTTGTTCTGTGAAGTTTGCATTCAGTCAAAGGGCTGCACTTGAGGACCTGGAGGGACATATGTGGCCTTGAGGCTGCAGGCTTCCCAACCCTGCCTTAGGCAGAGAACAATATTTTACAAATTAGGAAGAAAAGAGAGAGGGGTGGAAGGTTCTATGCAGTTTAACAGTTTCATCAAAGATTTGAATAAAGGCACAGATGGTATGCTTAGCAGATTTGCAGATAACACAAAACTGGGAGGGAGAGCTAAGGCACTGGATGAAAGAGTTAGTATTCAAAAAGACTTTTTTTTTCTTTGGTGAGGCAATTGGGGTGAAGTGACTTGCCCAGGGTCACACAGCTACTGAGTGTTATATGTCTGAGGCCGGATTTGAACTCAGGTCCTCCTGACTCCAGAGTTGGTCCTCTTTCCACTGCACCACCTAGCTGCCCCTTCAAAAAGATTTTAACAGGCCCAGAGCACTTTGCTGGATCTAATAAGGCAAAATGTAATGGGGACAAGTCTAAATCTTCCATTTGGATTCAAATGATCAGTTTCACAAGCACAAAATGGGAGAAGACTCTATTATAAAGAGAATTCTTATTCAGACGTGGGCAAGATTTGAAGTCAGGTCTTCCTGACTGCTAGATCAGCGTTCCACGGGATATGACAACTCACTACAAAAGTAGCAAAGTGATTCGTGCTATCCCCCAGGGGATGAAGAACTTCTCATATCTTTGTAGTATTCCTCTCTTTCCTGCTACCTCCTGAATCATTCAGGAGTTCTAGAATATTCTTCTATATCTCTGCTCTTCTCTCCATTTCACCAGAATAATATCCCTGAAGCCACAATTTATGCATATGGTAAACAATACTATTGTTTCAGTCTATGATGAATAGAGGAATACTACAAAGATATGAGAAATTCTTCATTCTCTGAGGGATGGCACAAGTCACTTTGCTACTTTGGCCCTCAATTTTCTCATCTATAAAATGAGGGAATTGGATTAGATGATTTCTAAGTTGTCTTCTAATTCTGTGTTCAATTTCCTAAATACCCTTTGAGCTTAGATGTTGTGTTCTAAAGTTTCTTTGAGCTTATACATTCCATTTTTTGTTTGTTTTTAGGTATGCTATTTTTTAAATGTTATTTTTAACTTATGGAATGAAACAAGCATTTTCATAACACTATAATTTTAAAAGATGATTGTACATAAACTGCAAATCTGCTATGCACGACTTGTTATTCCTTTCAAATACACAACAAAGTTATCATGTAATTTTTTTTCCTTTTTTTCCCTTCTCTTTCTCCTCCCACCCTGCCCTAGAGATGACATTTCATTTTTGAAGTCCTGGTTCAGTTCCCATCCTCTACCCCTCTACCCCTGTTCTGAAATCCCCTCCAGCTCTGCCATCTTGTGATTCTGTGACCCTGTGAACTGGCTGACCTAGGTGCAACAAGGGGATGGGACAAAGAAATTATAAAGTAATTCAAGCAAATAGAGAAGTGTTCTTGGGGGTAGCTGAAAGTCACCAGCTCAGCTTGTATTTTCCTAGATATTATTGAAAGCAGTAGCTTGCAACCCATATCTTTCTAATCACAATGGGATGGGTTTAGTCACTACTGCCCCATTGCAAGCTGGAGGGTCCTAGGGACAGCTATAATCATGGCAAGTTGTGAGCACTCATTATTTCTTGGTGTGAATCACTTCCTTCCTTTTATTCCTATGAGGCAACATGAAAACCTATTCTGAGGTTCACTCTGTGGATGAAATAACCCACAACAGCCTGGCCTCTCTCTCTTCCACCCTGAGACAACATTTGTCCCTGTCACTGCTCCCCCTTCCCTGTCCCTGTGACATGCTCATTAGTGCTGAGCGCACACTCTGTGTGAGGCCTGGTTCAGTGCAGATCCCATCCTCAGGGCAGAGACAGCGCAGCAGTTTTTAGGAATAAGCCCCCCAAGCCTGACTTTGGTGAGTCATACCCCAGAGCCTCCCAAAGAAGGGAAGGAGTCTGGTCACCTGTCCACCTTCTACACCTGTTGTGTAGAAGAGGAAACAGATTCACGAGGAGGCTAGGGCCCTTTGCATGACAGGGAAAGAGCCTGGGTACATGAGCAGAGAAAGTGGGGAATAATGATCATCACTCAAATTATAAGAGCTTTTAAAAGCTTACAAAGGGCTTTTGCTTATGAGATTCCTGTGAAGTAGAGGAGGCAAATCTTATTACTCCCACTTTACAGATAGGCAACTGAGGTTCAGAGAAATGACTCACTGACAGTAACATAGTTATTAAGTAGAATCCAGGGTGGGGTTAGTAGAAAGATCATTGGATTTGGCATCAAGAACTTTTCACTTACTTCCTGTGTGACCCTGGACAAGTTAATTAAGTTTTCTGGGCCTCAGGCTCTTCCTCTATAAAGCAAGGCAGTGAGACTAGCTGATGCCTAAGGTCCCTCCCAGTACTCAATCTTAAGATCCTATAAGAGGCAGAGTCTCGATTAAAACCCAAATCTTTTGATTATAAGTTCCCTTTCCATTCTATGACACCAACAAGGACAAGCAAAGAAATGCCACAAGCTTACCATGGCTAAAATCACTCAATTCTTCTATCCCAGCTTACTCACTTTCCCTATTCCCCTTTTCCAGCTTACTATGTTATTAGT